TTTAGGGTTTAGGGTTTCAGTGTTTGGGTGTTGGGAAGTTGGGGTACTGCAGGGGCCTTAATACTTAGAATAAGGCTTTGGGGCATACTAGACTATAACTATAATCAGGAACCCCCCCCCCTCAAATTCTTATTGGTAATTATGAAGGCCCCTATATTACATCGCCAGGTTAGCACCTGGCAAGCCCTCAGGCCTCGAAACCCGAGAATAGAATAAGACAAGCCGCAAAACACACCAATCAGCGCACCGTTCTTCTTAATGCCCGTGGACAAAAAACTGGCAAGAGCGCCATAGCTCGGCCTGGCAATGGAGTTCTGGGGTGATTTGAGGTGTACTTCTGGTTCCTCAGAAGGTCTTTTAACATACGGGCCACAATGCATTCTTAAAGGGTTGTAAAAAGGGCATAATGTACAGGCCTACATAATTAGAAAGGGGGTCTGGGATCTGTCCTACTACAAGTGTATTGAGGAACCTCATTACAATTACTGATTATTCAGGCTCCTTGCTCAAGAGTTTATGTTGAAGATTCTATCAGGATTTGTAAGATGGATCTCAATTTGTTCATCAGCAATAGGCCGCCCTGACCGTTCTGGCCCCTACAATACAGCTATACTGTAATCTGCCATCCACACCTATTTAATTTGGAACAAAGCTAAAACATCAACAAAATCATAAACCAAACACCACTGAAACAACAAGCAAGCGCATAGAGAAACCACGAATCAAACTAATCAAAACTGACAAAACATGAACCAACCATGACAAGACTGGATCCAACATAAGTCAAAACACTAATCAAACATCGAAAACCCTAAACCCTACCCTAAAACCCTAAACCCTAAACCCTAAACCCAGTGCAGAACAGCTCCGGGCCTCCATCATGAACAAGGGCATACAGAACAGTGCCAGAAACTCAACGGTTTAGGGTTTGGGGTTTAGGGTTGTCAACCCAACATGCATCAAAACACACACACACACACAGACATAGTTGGCAACCGCCAATATCAGGTGGCTTGTAACAAGGATTGAAACCTATTTGCTGTGTTCGCTGGCAACAAGGAGCTTAGCCCTAAACTCTAAACCCTAATGCTCGAGTGTTACGAAGCCTGGTAAGTTTCTAAACTACGCCGTTGCGCCAAGAACAACGGGTTCGTCGCTGGAGGTAGATGTGCAAATAGATCACGGGGGTGAGCGTGATTCGTATCATAGCCATTCTGATGAACCTTTAAACCCTAAACCCGAACCCCAACCTTAAACCCTAAACCCTGAACATTAAACCCTCAACCCTAAACCCTAAACCCGAACCCCAACCCTAGACCCTAAACCCTCAACCCCAAACCCTTGATTCCGGGGGGTTGAAGGGTGCAATCTGAGATTCGTCGTTGAGAATGGGGAAGCTAGTAGGGTTTTGGGTTCAAGGTTTTAGAGTTTAGGGCTTAGGGTCTACAGTTTAGCGTTTTGGGCTTCAGGTTGAAAGCTGAGGGCTTAGGGTTTATTTAGGGGCTTCGAATGTCCCATCCGAGGCTAAGTGTGAGATCATCCTGTCCAAATCTTCGCACAGGGTGCCTGGAAATGTGCAACCATAAGATCTCAATATAGGTGGTACTGAGAAGCCATAAGGGATTGCTGTGTAGGGTAAGCTAAGAGAGCGCTAGGCAAGCAAGGGGCTGTCAGTCAGGGGTCTAGCCCAAAACCTCCCATATCCCTTAATTAAGGAATATACCTTAAATCTTATTAGGGTTCCTATTACAGTTTAAGGTATATTCCTTAATTAAGGGGTTTTGGAGGCTCTGGGAGATTGATTTGGTCTCCGGGGTTCTCTGGCTTAGTCGTTGAGGTTTAAGGTTTAGGGTCTAGCCCAAAACCCGTAAACCCCTCAACCCCATGGTAACGGTGTCGCTTCCGACCCCCCAAAAGGTGTCACTTCCGACCCCCCACAACCCGGAC